GATATCTTGTCCTTTGGGTGTACAAATCTTTTTCTGACTGTCATGTATGGTTTTGTTGGTGTGTTGATATTATGATTTTTCATTGTTGCTAATATATTTTTCTGTTATGCCTTCGATATTTGGAAGGATTATTTCTAGTTTTGGTTCTAGTCTTTCTGTGTTTCTGGTTCTTCTTGTTGGCTCGTTTTCCATTCATCCATCTATCCATCCATGTTGTTTGTAGTTTTCCTTTTTGCATTGCCCATGTCAGTTCTGTGTTGGTTCTCTATCAATCAAATCAAAGATACTTTATTAATTCCTCTGGGATTAATAAAGTAATAGTTTGCGATCTTGTTCTTCTGTTGTTATATTTGCTCTGTGGTATAATGTTCTGATAACTGACATTTAAGGTATGGTGGGATGTTCAAATGACCATAGTAAATATTGGTTCATGTGTGTTGGTTTCCTATATGTGGGGTTAGGATTAAGCCTGATTCATGCTTCTCCGTCTGCGTCAGTGCGGAGACACGCAACATCCTTGCGGGCCTGCCGGAGAGCTCCGCAAGGACGGACGGAGTCGAGCTCTCTTTTCTAAACATCCGTCAGTCGAGACGGACAATGCAAGCTTGTGATTGGTCAGGACGCCGCTGTTGTCTACAGCGCTGCCATTGTGCCTTCAAAAACATAAAGAGAGCCGAGGATAACAAGCAGCAGACACGGAGAAGCTTGAAGAATACCTCGCGAAAAAACTCTAAAATATGAACATTTAATTCCCCCGTAACTGGAGGAGTGAAAAGATGCACAGCAAGCGTTTTATTTGTGGACGGAAATTACAGGAAACGTGGGTTTAGAGGTGGCGAGCGCATGAAGAGATGGAGGAGAATGAGAGACAAATATGTCCGTGTTAAAAAGTCTCTTACATACAAAAAAACACAATATAAACACACTATCTTGGACCGATACATGACAGGATACCCCAGAACAGCGCTACGCCCTCTGTCATCCTGCCGGGCAATTGCTTTGCAACACTCCCCAGGAGACGGAGAAGTATGAGAGCAAAACGCTTCCGTCAATCCGTGCGTGTCTGTCCCTTGCGGAGCTGACGGAGAAGCATGAACCAGGCTTTAGGGTTAGGTCGATGCTGTTCAGGTGTTTTCTTATAGTCTCCGTTTGTCCTTTCGGAATGATTTCTAGTTTTTCGTCTACGTAGCGTCTCCATAGTTTTATTTTTCAGTCTGGGGGCAGTAGCTTTGGCTTTTGGTTCCAGGTCTTCCATTAAGAACTCACCATGGGTGGCTGATAGTGGATTTCCCAAGGCGGAGCCTTCTAGTTGTTTAACTCATTCACTGCCATTGACAACAAAAGTCATTAAATTAAATGCAACCGTTTACTGCCAATGACAACTAAAGTCGTCATTTGCATTTTTTTTCTGTGTGGGTCTCGGAACGAGCCCCCGCACCGTGAGAACAAACATCCCAGCTCTAAAGCCAATCTTCTTCCGCATACGTCACACGTCATGTGATCAGGAAGCAGAAAATCCATGTGTTAAGAGATCGTTTTGGGCCGCTGCTGTAAAAAAAAAGTGAGGCGCGAACCAGAAAAGCTTCTGTCGATCACAATTCGACAACGGATTATAAAAGAATGGATAACGCTCAAAACGCTTTCGTTGTCTTCTATTGTAATTTTTTCAGTTCTTCTGCTAGTTCTGTGCTGGTTTACAGCGTTGATCTGTGTTACCTAATAGTGGGCTGATGATTCTGCTCATCTCTTTTGCCATGTTGTATGTCGGTGTTCCCTTGCTGTCAACTATTGGTCTCAGTGGAGTATTCTATTTATGTATTTTTGGGATTCCATAAATTCTTACAATTATGTTTGCTGTTGGAATCCATTGTTTTCTACATTTGTTCTGTGTTTAACTTTGTAATCCATTAATTTATTCATTTTTTACACAGTTCAGTAAAAAAGTATTTTTTTTCCTGACATGTTTCAACTAATGCCTCTAGTCATCATCAGAGTTCAACGGCGTTTATCGGTTGGCAGCAGAGGACGATGTCACCCTCTACTGCCCGCGTCCTGTCTACTGGTTTCTACCGTCTCCCGGCTGGAAGTGCCTTCTCTTTGGAGTCACTCAATCGTGTTTTTCTCACTAAAAGCTCCCGAAAACCTCCATTAGCATGTAACTAATGATCCCCTGCTCCCTGACCTTGGCTGACATGAGGGGCCAGGGCGCCCGGCTCCGATCGCAGTAGTCTGAGGCTTTGCTTGTATTTTACAGTTCATATTAGAGCTCCACAGGAGACCAACACAACTACAGCCTTGCACAGAAGCCAAGCGGCCACGCGGGTCGGCTGCCCCGGATCTCTGTCTTAGCTTTGGGGGTTAGCTCAGTTAGCTAGTAGCTACATTGGTTCACTTGCTCATCGACAGGCATCGCCAAACGAGGAGCATTTGTAAAATTGGAAGTTGATGGTAAAGAAGAATAGAAGGAAAAGAAATAAACTGCTTTAAAATCATGATTTCTAAAGACCCAATACCAAAACTATGTTAAGGAACACTCCTGCTGAAGAACAGCTAACCGAACCATCTCCAGGTCACCTTTCCCCCTCCCAGAAACTACCCGAAACTCCTATAGTGGATACACAGCATATGGTCTTGATTACCTGTGTTAATTTCCTCAGAATAAAACAAAACTTCCACAATTTGCACCTCACAGCTGCTTTTCCTCATCGTAATGATCGCACGGAGGAAGGGGCAATGGTCACACATATGGTAAGCAATGGGTGAAATGATGTGAGGTAAAGTCTTGTGATGCACAGAAATACACTGATCTATCCTTGTGGAGCTGAAACAACCAAGTAGACACAAACCTCTGGCCCACCAGTCTGCAGCGTCACACAAGAGTGCCTTGGGAGTCGCTTTTGAGCGAGATAAAATGTAAAACATAAAAAACTATAAACCTCCATCTGCGTGTGGCTTATTTTATCTAGAGGCATACTATAATTGTTCATTAAAATAAGATTGTGCTTTGCTTTTTGACAGAGGATATTCAGACTAATGAGCTCACAGAGATGCTCGGGCCATCTTTGATCTTAAGCTGTAAAACACAGGAGCCTGGCATTCTCTGCCTGGATACAAAGAAGTGCTTGCGGACACACACACACTCGCACACACACACATACACCTACACAGATATTTTTTTTCCTGAAGTGCACATTGCAGACTACCCAACAAGGCTCGTTTGTTCAAACAAAAAGAACAAAGAGCAGGTGGCACACAATCTTCTGCACCTGCCAAAAAATAAGCAAAGAAAATTTTAAATAAAACAACAAAAGGTTGCTTTATTTAGAAAAAGAACCAAGAATTGTATCACAATCCTGGCATTAAAAGCAATGATTTTTAATTTATTATTTTTTTATAATATGGAAATGACAAGCAGCAGGAAGAAAAAATAACATTTCCTGTTTGCCTTTTTTTTTTTTTTTTTTGCCCAGACCACCTCTGATCTATAAGAAGCTGGTTGAAATGTAACTGAAGAGCAATATGGCACCGGAGGGGAGAAGAAATGTCCCACATTTAATCAAATTACTACAAGTGTGAAGGTCCCATATTTTTTTTTCCTTCTTGCTCATAATTATTTCATGCTAGCTTTGGGGCAGAGAAATCTCCCATCTTGACCTCCCAACGAACGAAGCAGCTCCTCTGGAGCAAGTTACCGAGTGTGTGTGCACAGCTGAGGCCGCCTAATTAAACGAGAACGGCTTCTGACCATAAACTTCAGTGGAAGAGCATCCTTTCTGTCACCAGGCAGCGTGGTAGATTTGCAACGAGGCACCAGAGTCCCTGTTCGGGGCGGTGGAAGTAGCTTTTGTTGTGGGAGAGAGAAAAACAGCAGATTCCTTTTATCTCAGAGCAGAGTCAGCAATAGTTTCATTTGCTTTAATGGTGCCCTCTTTCCTCTTGTGTGCATGCTCTCTCTTCTTGTCAGGACGATGCCAAAAGGAACTGAGAGTGCGAGCAACAAATCAGGCCATCTAACAGCATGTCACAACTCTGAGACACACACACACACACACCGGCACTTCTAGGAGCATCAAACCCAATTTTCACTGCTCTGGACACAAAACCTGCCGCATGCTACATGCTCTTTAGCCTTTTGAGAGGTATGGTGGTTTGGGACTCTGAAGTGCAAACCTGAGATAACTCGGCAGCAGAGAATAGGCTTTAGAGAAAATGACAGGCACAAAGGCTGGAAAGGCGAGGAAAGGAAGAAAAAAAACACCCCCAAATGAAAAGAAAAGCTGAGCAAAAGAACATTTCTCACAGAGCTATGTAAATAAGCAGGCTGAGTGGTGAAAAGCGCTGATGACTGGGATTCATTGGATTTTACAATATGTAAATGGCACACAGTGTGCACAGCTGCCTCAGGCCAATAGTGGAGCGATCAGAGCGTCCAGAGCCCTGAAAGGTAGCCTCACAATGAAGGATCACTTCAAAGAACTTGTAAACAATGGCGAGACCGTTTCAATCGCGTGTGCTGGTAGATAATCGGCTAAAAATAAACACGTCCTCCTCCGTTTCAAACATCACTCAGCAGGCGTGGGCTGTCCAGGAGACAGCCTGCGAATATTCACATCTAAATAAAATATTTATATTGGGAAAGAAATGTCGAATGAGATCTAATTTAGCGTGAAAACTAGCTAAAGGTCTTGCAGATAGCATCTTATACACTGAAGCATCTTGACAGGACATCTGTCACTGCTTAATGCGTCGCTGTCTTTATGCGTTCCCTTTAAAAAGGTCACACGTTGAAGCTTTTAACGCTTCCTAAAACAAACTGCTCGCAGCTTCTGAGGCCAAGAAGATCCACAGCATGCTTTGAGTTTCTGCTCCAAATGACAAAAACAAGAATAGAAGAATGATCTAAGAGGCTAATGTACACCTTTCACAACACAATCTTTTCTAAGATACTACAGAACAGCTAAAATGATCACTAGAGTCTATTCTAAAGCTAATCTGCTCACCTTGGGCCACCCCAACATGGCCCCAAGAGCAGACGTATGTTTAGAGGAAATAATCCGTCGGGCTGTAGTAGAGGCGTTTAGCAACCTCTTGACGGGTTTGGTTCTGGAGGATCCAGGACTGGAGAGGGCTGTTGTCACAGTACTCCACGGTTGGGCCGTAGGTGCCGTCCTCCAGGCGGCTGATGGTCAGACATGACTGGGTGATGATGTGGAGGAAGGTGTGCTTCTGCAGCGAGCCAGGAGGGAATGTAAGAGACATGGTCATTGCCAAACTGGAGATGTTGGTTCTTTGAAGTAAAATGTAATCAGTTCCTTTTTTTTACTGCTAAATAATGCCGCTAAAACCTTTAATGTTTCTTTGGTCATAAAACTACGTCTAGACCAGGGTTACAATTGACTGTGTTAAATAAATTGGCGTTCCTGATGGAGTTGGTTTTTTTGAGTAATGTGTAATCAAATGATTTAATTTCATTACGCCGTTTTCGTTACTGATGAGAAAACAAAGTGAGGAATGTTTACGTCCCAGAGCATCACAGCCAGTGAGCAACGAGGAAGAAGTGACCGTGGGAATTCCCGCTCAGTCGGTTCATTCATTCCTCGTAATGACCTCCGATCGTCCTAGGTCATCCTCCATTCATCCAACTGGTACTGGCAGGTTTTCCTGATCCTAGTCCCGCAGTGGCGTGTCCAGATCTTTTAAAATGGGGTGGCCCAGATGAGGCACAACTTTGAGCATGGGTGGCACCAATGGTTATGCTTTTTTTTGTTATACCCCCAAGCCTTTGTGGACAATGAAAAGCCTATTTAAAGGTAAATTAGTGTGGTGGCACCTGGGGTGGCCAATCAAATTCCAAGGGTGGCATGTGCTACCCCAGGCCACTCCCTGAACACGCCCCTGTAGTCCCGCTGTAAAACTGATTCACGGATTTCATGTCCATCTATTTATTTAGTTTCATAATAAATGACCTGACAGAGATTCGAGCCATTTTAGTCCATTAAGTAATTTATATTTTAGTACTAAATTAATTTCTAGTATATAGGTTTTATTAAGAGGGGATCTTCTTTCATATTTCTGTTAAAGACACGCAAAAGTAACTTTTCCTGGTAATTAGTTAATTGTATATCTATTATTTTTGTAGTAATTGAACCAAAGTGGTAACAAAACTAATACATTTTTCTGAGTAACTTGTTTAACAAGCTCAACAATTAAGACAGCTCACAGTTTCTTAACTCATTCACTGCCAATGACGACTAAAGTCGTCATTTGCATTTTTTTTTTTACTGTGTGGGCGTCGGAACGAGCCCCCGCACCGTGTGACCAAACATCCCAGCTCTAAAGCCAATTTTCATCCACGTACGCCACACGTCACATGATCAGGAAGCAGAAAATCCATGTGTTAGGAGATCGTTTTGGACTGCTGCTGTAAAAAAAAGTGAGGCGTGAACCGGAAAAGCTCCTGACGATCACAATTCGACAACAGATTACGAAAGAACGGATAATGCTAGAAACATACGGATTCTTCCTGATGTAAGAGGTGAGTCTACTCTTTGTTTTCGTAGATTTGGCGTCGACATCATCCTAGCACGCAACGTTCTGAGTCTTAAAAAAACAGTAAAAATGGTGAAAACCGCTGACAGCGAAGGGCTTTACTGCACAAAACAGCAGGCAGTGAATGAGTTAAAGGGATACTTATCACATTTTTCATATTTTTAAACCATATATTTAGTATGTGCTGAAATGACTGTTTACGGGTTTAATTCAATGTCATCCAACCCCCCACCCCCGTGGCCAGAATATTCCACTTGCAACTTCAGACTGGCGAGCCGCTCTGTTGGAAAAATTGAGCTGACAAACCTGAAGCTGCAGTCTGGTTCCAGCACATTTCCTGCATGTTTTTGATCATGAACACAACAGATTTGTTTAATTTAGTGATGGACTACTCTTTTAGACACCAAAGAAGGCTGGGAGACATTTCAGCTGTTAAATGAAGGTAGCGGTGCCCGCGAGACCCTTCTTTGTGGCCCCTGATCCACCAATCCAATAAAGGTTGCTATTTAATATGGCCCTCATCCTCTTATGTTTGAGTACCCCTGGATTACGGTGTTGAAGAGACAAATGCACAGTGAGGAGATAGGTTTTGGTTTTGTTTCTACAAGCGGACACTAGGGGGTGCTAAAAGCAAAGCAAAACCTCCTTTTCTTTACCCCTATCTTTGGATTTGAGCGCGTTTTGACTAAGTTGTAAATTTAAGACATGAAATCTGAAATTCTGGGAGCCCTTTTATGTTTTCTTCATCTATATAATGACATATTTTAACCCTTTGGAGGCAGGTGTTGCAGATTTGCAATGTTAAAACCTACCTACCTACCTGGTTACTCCACATACATATTTCATGAGCATTTTTTTAACTTAGTTGTTCGTCCTTTTATCAAAACTTATTTTGAGCCTGAGAGGGTTAATCATCTTTCACTTGTTTTATGATATTTTGTTCTTTTGACTTAATGATTTTTTGACTTTATGATTTTGTCACTTACACATATTCCTGCCATTCCTCTTTGGATATAATACATAGTAATGTGCAGAAATGTAAAAAGAAAAAAAATTGATATTCATTTTATTCCAAACACAGTCTGATTTTTTTGTGTGCAATTATGTTTGCAAACATCTTTTATTAAACCCCAAAAATGTATTTATGTGTTTGTTTTGATAGCTTGTTGCATTCAGAGGCATCAGACTTAAAACTGCTCTGGTTTGTAAACAGTTATCAATCCATCATGGCATGACATTAGAAAGACCATGTTGTTTCACATTATGGACGTGATGCCTGAGTCAAATACTGCAAATGTTTCAGCTGAGAAGACAGAGTTAGATAACAGTTAATAAAGACAAATGGTTGGGGAATTATGATTTTTTTTTTTTTAAATCACAGCAATAAAACTTTCTCATTTCTGGTGAAAAAAAGGGTAAAGAAGTCCTCGGCAGTCGCACCTGAGCCAAAAACAACCAGACAATGCTGTTTACAATAGAGACCAGTCTTCATTGTTTATTCAACCGTTTTCACTTTAAGAAAGCGCCCAGAGAACAAAGCGTAATTAAAGGTTTCCACCTGGGGTTTATTCACTGCTTGATGGAGCGGCCTGCAGGCTTCCATACATGGTCATATAAACATGTCAACAACTTGACATCTCAATCACTCACATGATAACGCCACATCGCTTCTGAGCCTCACCCCAGTGAATTAAAACCTCATAATAAAATTGTTGTATGAGCTGTAAAGTTGTTGTTTTTATTATTAGTCAGGCAATAAGGCCTCGGGAAAGATGTTCTCGGTCTTCTTTGAGATTCGGACTTCTTTTTTATTCCATGCACGTAACATCTGTCTCTCCGTTTGAATGCATACAGCTTGCTGACGCAGGAGGCATTAAGTAAAATTAAACTTCAGTGTTTAATATGCATTGATGTAATTTATCTCACCTTCATTTCAACTTCTGTTACTCAGTCCCACAACTGACTAAGTTGCATACATATTGCATGCAGACATATGTGCACCAATATGTGCATTTTTGATCTGTTATTTTAGGATTTTATATTTGCCTTTTGCAAGAATACACAAATAAAGCTCTCTACTTTGTTACCTTTAATTTAATGCAACAAACCAAAATTTACAGAATGGTCATCAAGTCGAACGTATGCTAAAAATGTGCCTTCTTACATTTTGTTGCATACACAGTGAGTAGAGGTCCACTGTAGAGCTAATTCCTTCATTTTTATGATCACACTGCTGCTGAATCCCCCCGACGGACCAACAAAATGCTAAACTTCACATACAGATTTAAGTGATCTAATCTAAAAGCTACCGACACTTCATAGTCCACACAGGATGCCACGGCACTCCAAGCACAAGACGTGAACTAAAGGGAAATGAAGGAGGGACGACTTGGACAGCTTACCTCAAAATCATACTCCCACTTGCCAACATACTATATGAAATGAGAGAAGATGAGAGACACAGCTGCTGGATGGAAATAGCAACTCAATCTGGGTTTTTTTTATATAAAAAAATAGGGAAGAATAAAACACACATAGTGCCATCTGGTGGAAAAATGGAGGAAATTCATTTTCTAACTTCCTTTCCTGACCACCTGCAGCAGCCTCATTATGGGTTCTTCATGAAATCGTACCTCAGCGTCGTACTCAAACATCTGGTTGCCCTTCATGTGGTGACACTTGAGCATCAGGACAGGTCCGTTGAGCCGGGACGCATCTAGGCACAGGTCATCTGTCCTGATTTCTTTATCTGCTGTGTATGAGAACACCTGGAGGCGCATTTAAAAAACACAAAGGCTGGGCTTAGATCTGGTTTTGGGTCCGTATCCATCATTCCTTTTCCATTCTACTTACTGGCATTGGATTTAATACAAGTTTTTAGCGTTTTTTTTTTTCTGGAACAAGTTTGAGACTGCTTAATTAGAGCTCTGAGGAAAAGGACACTAAAATACAACGGATTTCCAGCCAAAAGATCTTTAAAAAGTGAAAAGAAGAAGACAAGAAAGCTTGGAACGAGCAGAGTTCAGTTTTATTGATGATTTTTGTAGCTCTAAGAGTCTTTGAAGGAATGTTCTGTCATTCTCCCAGCCAAAAGCCTCGAGCCCTGCGCGGTTCTTGATCTGTTTTATGTACAGCACTCCTCTGAGGAGTTTTTATAGTGTTGATGTGAAATAGGAGGAGGGAGTGTGGGAGCCTTTGTACAAATGTCAAGACTCCCCTTATGCATGTTTACGTTGCACTACATTTAGGATATTCTCTTTTAGAAATAAATGTTCTAACTTTTTCATTCTTTGTATATTTGAAACAAATCTTTGCTAATTTCGGTGAAAAATATCTATTTTACTTCAACAATATTCGTTCTTAAAATGCAGCAGACCTTTTCAAAATAAACTTTGAGGTAAAATTTCAAAAAAATGTTATGTTTACATGAGTGAATGCGAGGCTTGCACAGCGGGACCATGTTCCTGGCTTTTTGTAAACTTACTGCATCAATTACTTTATATTGCAAATCATTTCACAGTTACTTGTTAAGGTTGATAGATGCATAGTGTTCATACAGGAAGTGAAGTTAAGCCCAAATGAATAGTGTGCTGACATTTGCAATTTGTGCAATTTCTCTTCTCTAAGGAAATTTTCCTAAATATCAAGAATGAAAACTGCACTAAGGAGTTTTCTCCTTTACCTGGTTTCCACCCATCCCATGACAGTTGAAAAAGCCGACTTTTTCATTCTCTTTTCTTCCCATGTTGTCCACACACTGGTTGGTCTCTACATTTCTGATCTGCAGACAGAAAACAAAGATTGTTAGACGGTTTCTTCACAATAAAATCCACTCCAAACTGATGAAGGTCACAGATACTTGGAATTGTTTTTGATTACTTGTATTTGTATTAAAACTGCTTATTTAATAGGATGTACAAAATCCTGTTCACTGAAACAAAGTAAGATATGCTTTTTGATGAGCCTGATGTTTTTTATTGAAAGTTTCATAACCTTAAAAAACTTTTTGTTCCTTAAACTTGTTTTTTTTTAATGTTTCTACTATGATGGACCACAAAAGGCAAGGCAGCTTTGTTTATATTGCACATTTCGTACACAGAGACAATTCAATGTGCTTTCCATTAGCAAGAATAGCAAGAACATTAAAATCAATGTGACAGCACAATTGAAAAACACACATTAATTTCAGATTCAAGAATCAAAAATAGGACAAGTTAAAGGGTGAGCGGTAACAGTGCAGTAGGTGCAGCATATAAAAGACTGATGAATACATGCGTCACGTTCTCCACACACCAGAGTCCCTCCAGATGCCAACCAAACACTTAAGACTCCAACTTCCATCGTCCCTTTCACCGGAACTTCCACACCTATCATCTCACAAAGGTATAGAGCTCCGGACGTCACGTGACTCTCAGAGAGTAGACGCCATGTTGGCAGGCAATAAAGGTAAACAAAATGAACGGGATCGACTTGGATTTGACTTCATCGGAGTTTGCTTCACATTTTAAAACCGAATAAATCGTTTTATATAGTCAGAAATTAAATAGACTAAACATCTCCGACCCTTACCGTGCCCCTGGGATACTTTTTAAAAATGCCAGAAGCTGTCGGAGCGGACTTCTTACCAGACCTGGCCAGGGAACGCCTTGGGATTTCCCCGGAGGAGCTGGCCCAAGTGGCTGGGGAGAGGGAAGTCTGGGCCTCTCGACGCTACTGCCCCCCGCAACCAGACTCCGGATAAGCGGATGAAAATGGATGGATGGACAAATAACATACATTTACATGTAAGTAGTTTAAATAGAGTGCTGTGCTGTTTGAATGTATAAACTGAACGCCAAGAGAAATCACTAGTTTGATTGTTTTCCGTGAATAAAATAAAAATGTCAGGCAGGAGCGTCTCAGGATTTGTCTGAGATCCGTCTCGGTGAGACAGATAATAGCAATCCAAAGTGCTTTTTATGTGTGATCTGACAATTGATCAACCCTTGCTTAAAAATTAAATACAGCTTAGCCGGTTAATTGCTGTGATCATAAGACACGTAAACGGCAGCACGCAGAACTCACGAGGAAACGTTTTACGTGATGTTTACTTGTTGCTATGAGTAATAAGACAGAAAAAGCCACGCCAAAATAAGTTTAGGAAGCCCACTAAGAATCGTAATAAAAGCATTTAAAATAAATACCATACACAGTTGAGGAAACGTTGGTTTAAGTACCTGATATGAAGTGGTCGCTGCATAAGCGAAAACCTTTACTCTCGGGATCCCACAGCTGCATTTCAGCCTGGTCACTAGCGCGTTTTATTACAATGATCCAACGTTTGCAGCATTCCGGATCTTGGGGAATCCTGTAGAAGGCTCATTCCTTATGTCGTCAGTGTCTGTTCTGCATCCTGGGGCACAACAGGAATCTACCATATTTCCCGTTTGATTTGAGTTTTCTGACAATAACAAACAGCCCAGCTGCGGGCTTCTGCATGCCAAGATGGCGCCGTTTCGATTTGAACTGTTGCATGCCGGGAGAAGTGACGTCAACTCCCGGAGCTCTATATCAGGAAGTACGGTTCACCAGCTCTACACTCAGTCATTGGTTGTCTACCGTGTCTAGAGTTTTGAGCCCTGCTCTTGAATTACTGAGCTTCCTCGTTCTCCAGTCATACTGACATTCCTCCCTCGGTAAGTGAGTTTTTCTTATCTAATTACGGAACGACTACACGGCCCCGTTGCCATTCGAGCCTTGTGCCATCGCTCCCAGATTAAAGATGTGTTAGCCACTCATGACGCTAGCATCTCCGCGTTTGAGTTGATCAACACGCTACATTCCGAGCCATCATTACAACATGAAAGTTTAAATTTTGATTTAAAAGTTACTAGAGTTGGGCACAAGGTAAGGAAGCTGTGTAGAGCTTTAAGAACAGGAGTGGCGTGCTTGGTTCTCTTGGTTCTTGTTAAGACTCTAGCAGCGGCATTCTGAGGAAGTTGCAGTTGCTTCACAGCTTTTATTTAGGGAGGCGTTCCCCCCCTAAATGTTCAAAAAGATGGCTTTGTTCGGGTTCACAACTTCACTTTGTTTATACTCATGATTTTATTTTCTACGTTTATCACTGCTATTGTTTTTCTGATGTTTTTACTGGTTAGAGGTATTTGCCCTGATCTTTATCATGTTGTACAGCGCTTTGTGATTTATATCTGTGAAAGGCGCTATATAAATAAACTTTTACTTACTTACTTACTTTATTTCGAAGACCAGTGAAAAGACAATTGCAATTCTTGAATCAGAACTTGACAGAACTCCGTAGCCCTTTGCTGACCAGCAACTGCCCTCAACAGTTTTTTGGTTTGCTTAGGAATGCTTGGGGGAGGTTTCAACCAGCTTTTTAGCAACAGCGTATTAAGACAGCTTTTCAGTTTGCCCACCATCAATAATAATTCAGAAGAAGAAGTCAAGATTGAACACTGACGTCACCTACACTCGTTTGAGGGACCTGAAGGAGACCATGAAATCACAGACAATAGTGATGGTGACCTGGCTTTATTGCTTCTGGACTTGTAAGTTTTTTGTCCAACAGTGTGGACTTTTTACTTTGTGGCTTATTTTAATATCAGTTGGCTTGCGTTAGTGTTAGCTTGTTGTCAGTGCTAGCTACAGCAGGCTGCAGCAGAGTTTACAACAACTGTGAATACCACTTTCAACCAGGATGGGCAAGCGGGAAACTTATTGTGTTGCTTCAAAGTTGTCGGAAGACTACTAGCAACAGCAAAAATAATGAAGTTGTATTAAGAAAAAGGACTTTTATTTACGCTGCCTCACTGCTACCTAGGATTGACTGAATAGTGTTTGTTGTTAGCCTCAAGGGCAACCTGCTGGCTTGATTATCACCTGTAAGTCACTTTGAACAAAAGTGTCTGCTAAGTACAGAAACATAAACACTTAGTTTAAAATGTTGCATTTTCAACATTAAATTTACTTTCAACACTGCACATTTTTTGCCAACCTCTATTATCACAGCTCTGAGTGGCTTATTACCCACTCAGCTAATTCACAAACTAATGCACCCGCAGAGCTGAAGCTGAGCTGACTGTTGTCCGGGCCATTATAAAGCCTCCCATGCAGAAATAAAAATGACCTTCACATTTAGGTGATACTAAACCTAAAAGCTGCATCAGGTGAGGGGAGGGCTGGCTGATGGGACCCAGCTTAGAGGGAAACAAGGGGAGAGTGACGGCTTTAAACAGCAGAGCAGCAACGATGAAAATTCTCCCATCCTCAGCTGTCAGAAGATTACAAGTTCTTTTAAGGATAAACTCTTGACTGACATAACTTGCAAACAGCCTTTTTTGCTGAAGAGAGCACGCTCAATGCCAGTTTTGACTCTAAAAAAACTGTAATGGAGCTTTTTAATAGAAAAGCTTATTAGAACGTAAACAGCTACACTATGAACAGCGTTGTTACTTTTCTGTCTTTGATGTTTTGCTTGCTGAGTAAAAATCCAATAAATGCATGCTTGAGCATTTTCTCTCTTTCCCAGCTTGAACGGCATAATAGTGTAAAAACAGTTTCGAGGGATCAATACAGACTGTGTGAGCATCCAGGTTGTTCTTGATTGTGCAAGTTCGGGACAAACAGCCCTGCACTTTTTAGATTTTTTTTTTCTTGTTTTCTTAGCCCTGTGTTGATTCTCAGCATTGCTGTCTATGAAAGCACAAAGCAGCAGCTACGAGGAGCCAAGTGCAGAAAAAAACAACCTCTGGGGCACGATGAGAAATTACAAGAGTACAAGAGTGCTCATACTTCACCAAGCGAGTAGTATCTTCTTGGGATCTGGGAGTCTGGGTAGATGTTCTCGAGATACCAGGAAAAAGGTTTGCACTTCAAGGTCTCTTTGAGAGCTTTACGAGAGGAGACGTCTCCGTAGTCCACCCGCATCACACCTGCAGAGGTCCACACAGAGATTCAAATTTATTCCTCTCAGAATGAGCTGGGTTTAAACATTTTTGCTGAAGGATATAAAAAACGAGAGAAGCTGATGTGTTTTGTTGCATCACCGTCACTAAACACCAGGGGGATCCTTTGCATGAATCCATGCATAAAGCATGGCTGTGAGTTTAATCAGGTAAAGATTTCCATATTAACCAATCCTATTTATAGACACACACACACACACACACACACACACACACACACACACTCAGGATGAAATATCTCATCTGTAAATGTCTGTGTGTCATCAAAGAAACTTTTGATTTGTCAAGAGGTACTGAAACTAAAAGGACTAGTCTGCAACTGGGCACAAACTCTTTAAAATTGACATAATTTCATTATTTAATACATTAGATGTTGTCTCTGGTATAAATGAATGCCTTCTTCTGTGGAACAAAAGCTCTGGTGCTCGAGTGGGGGGCTATAACAGCAAATACGTGAAACAAGCTCGGGCAGCGATAGCTCAGGAGGTAGAGCGGGTTGCCCCTTGATAGGATTGTGGAATTGGTTCCAGCTCCTGCCAGGGGTATTCTGCTGTTGTATTCTTGGACAAGACACTTTACCCAACCTGCCTGTGTTGGTGGTGGTCGGAGGGAACGGTGGCGCCTGTGCTCGGCAGCCTCACCTCTGTCAGTGTGCCCCTGGGCAGCTGTGGCTACATCGTAGCTCATCACCATCAGTGTGTGAATGTGTGTGTGAATGGATGGATGATAAGCTGTAGTGTAAAGCGCTTTGAAGTCCTTACTCTGAGAGGCGCTATACAAGTGCGGGTCATTTATCATTTATCAAGGGCAGATGGCGCAAAATGGCAGCCTCGCCCTAGAATGGCTGTGGCTACGTAGTAGCTTACCATCACCGGCAGTGTGTGAATGTGAGAGTACATGAATAATGGGAAGCCCTTTGAGTGCCTAGAAAAGCACTACATAAATTCAATCCATTATTATTATTTCTTATTAAAAACCTCAGCCAATAACACGGCTCATTCCAAAACCAACAATCGGACCATCGTCTGTCTCACTGGACTACCGCATCTCCCTGGGCCTTCCACTTATTACACGCTTGTGCGTTTTGCAGCGGAACACCACTGGTGTGAGTTTCTCTGCTCAATAATATCAGAAAAGGAAAAATTGACAGCTGATACCACTTCAACTTTAGAACAAGTTGCAAAAAAGAAAAACACCATTTGAAGACGTTTGGACGTAGAAAACTGCGACTGGTGTTTAGCGCCGTCTCGTTCACTGTGGCAATGCACGTTCCCACATTCACATTTTAACTCAACAAATAACACAAGCTTGAAGGCGTTCTGCTATGTTGTGGAGTTGCTAACGTTAACTGGCTTCTACTTCTCAACTCGGAGTTCACCTACAAAACCACCAGCAGCTGTCACCTCCAGAAGTTCTCTGATGACTCAGCCATTGTCGGCTGTTTGTCTGAGGGGAATGACCTGGAGTACAGGTCAGTCATTATGGAAGGTGTGAGCGGAACCACCTTCACTTGAACACCAGTAAGACAAAGGAAATGATGATTGACTTCCAGAGAAACACTCCTCCTCACTCAACAGTAAACAACCGGGGAGCAGACATTGAGGTGGTGGATACCGTTAAGTACCTGGGTGTTCACCTCAACACCAAACTGAACTGGTCCAACAACACAGATGCTCTGTTTAAGAAGGGCCAAGGCAACCTCCACCTCCTGAGGAGGCTGAGGTCCTTCGGAGTTCATTCCCAGCTGCTAAAATATTTTTACCACTCTGTGGTCGGCTCTCTTATTCACTCTACTGTGGTCTGTCGGGGTGCAGGCAGCTCTGACCAAGACTGAACAAGCTAGTTAACAAAGCTTACTCTGGTCTGGGGTGTCCACGGGATTCAGTTGAGGAGATGTGTGAAAGGAGGACGCTGGAGAAAGATTACCTCCATCTTAAAAAAAACCCCTCCCAACCACTGCATTTCACTGTGGAGACCATGGACAGCTCCTTCAGAGGCAGACGGAGACAGATAAACAGAACGCTACCGTAGGTCAGTCATCCCCTCTGTAGTAAGTGTGTGCAAGTCCTCAGTTTAACTGGTACAGGCAGTATCCGGGTACACAATATCATTAATACACTATTCAGTATGTGTTCAGCACTTGTGCAATACCGGATTTAAATAGTATGTCTGTGTCCTTTACACTGCTAAGTTCTGGAACCCAAGTTTTTATTTTATTTTATTTTTGATTCAGGGCTTTTAGTGGTTGAAGGTTGTATTAATAGCTTACTGCCTATGTGTACATATATTTTTCTTCAAATTAGTCTCTTAAGTGTTTGCACTGCTGAAACAAGTTAATTTCCCCACTGTGGGATCAATACAGTCTATTCTATTCTTGCCGAGACAAGCTTTGCCCTCTCCAGGCTGCTAAATCATCAGTGGGTGACCCCATGAATACAAATATTTCCCTTTGACGTAGAAGGGACTCTTTTCTCTGTCTATTTTCTTCTGGTGGCTATTGCAGGAAACAGGAGTAGAACAATTTTTTCTGATCATATTTAATAAAAAACATGTATGATGCATTTCTCAAGGAACCTTCTCTTTAAAACACACGAAGATGACTGATTTTTGGATTTCCTCGTGTGGACCCATAGCTTGCTTGTAGCAACATCAGAGGTAATTTTTTAATGATAAATGGTAACTATAAAAAATTCATGACCACCAAATCTGTAGCCATTTAAAATCAACAAGATATTGGTGCTTAAATTGGGATTTTTTTTCTAGTGGCTTCTATCCTGAAATGTTCTGTGCACTGGAAGTTCCCATTTTAATAGGATGACTCTGTAACACTCCCAGAGCAGTGACATAGTGTGCTCCTCTGTGCCAATAAGTAAGGTCTGGCAGCAGCTCAGCCCAGATCATCTTCCCTAATGTCCTGAAGGAACAGACAGCCATTGCGGGGCCACAACACACAGTAAAACCCATCCATCACAACACTGCACACCTGCCCATGGAGCGTCCTGTCTGAACGAGCGGACGAGAAGGTCACAATTTGTGCCAGAAGATCTGCAGATTACAGATGATCCCTCATAGATTGGCAGCCATCTAGAACACTTAGCCAGAGATTTAGGGAAAAGTGCTTTCTGCTAAAGGGTAATCGCATTACTGAGTCGACAGATGGAGGGGGGGGGGGGGGGGGGGTTCTCATCACTCGAGCTGCACAGCCCTGTTGCTCCAGTTTTTCCATATGTGTTTAAGCTCTTCTGGAGAGAAGACCGTCTCTGACAAATTTCTAAACCCGAGTTCAGGGGAGCCCTACGAAAAAGATTTAGTCCTCTTTGAGGATGACAAAAGAGTGTGAATTTCCAATGTTCAAGTCCAAAAAGAAATGTGGACTATTGGATGAGCAAGAAGAAAAAAGTAGCAGAAGAGAATTAAAAAACAAAAATAAGAGCTGATAATTCCTTTCGTGGCTATTTGCTAAATGTTGCATCAGCGAGCACAGCGAGGCCGGGATAACTGGGATTGCTCAATTCTGCTTTTAAACATTGCTGCACAACAATTATACATCCAGTGAATTCCAGACTAAAAATTCCTTTCTACTTTTAATAACATGTAAAATTCAGGCCATTTCGCCCAGTTTGCCCTCAGTGTGTCCTTTTAATCTACATGGTAAATTCACACAGGTGTTTTTTTTCTCTGTACCCGGTGATATGATGTAGAAGAAGTCTTTAAACTCGTCCATCCAGACTTCAGCCAGGCGCCTGTTGTTCTTGTTGATGACTTGGCCCGTTCCTCCGGGGAAGCTGTATGGAGTCGCCTTTCGGAAAACATGCCCCACGTGAGAGCACGTTACGATTTCTAAAGACCCACCACACTGCCAAATCTGGAAAAAAAAATGGAAGCTTATAATTATTTTATTGATTTATAGGATGGCCCTAAACAAGTGCTGCCATAGCTTAAGATGAAATTACAAATGATGGAAAAATGGTAACGATGTTCTTCTTCACTCACTCTAAAAGACATTTCCAGGTTCTCTCCACCCCAAATATCCATCCCTGGATCGTAGCTTCCGATTTCCTCAAAATATGTTTTGTCTATAGAGAACAAGCCTCCTGCCATGGTGGGAGTCCTGCAGGAATATTTTAAATAAAAATGTTCATTCAAAATAGGACAAATCAGAAGAAATAATACAATAAATTATTGTGATCCTTTATTTTTAGCTCTTTAGCATCTGATTGTGGCATTTGCGTACCTGACGGGAAGTGTTCTGTCTCCTTTACGTCGATCCATCTCCCTCTGAGGAACAGGGTACCATCGGAAATTCAGCTTCCAGTTGAAGCCGCCGTAAGTCATATCTGAGCCTGCCATGTACTCAAATGTCTCATCGCTGATGACGTCTATGATCGGACACACCACCGCTGTCCTGAAGACACGAGTATAAAATTCAGCTCTGAGATGAAAAACGAGACCTTGAACTGTACATAAGACAAATTTACTCAATTAATGTTTAATTCAGAGGAAATAAATCACAGAAACGTGTTAATTAAACTCACTGTTAATTGCATGTAACTTTACATTTACATTAATATTTAAATCTTCCCATAATATTTTAAAAAGTGCTTCCTATTTTTTTAACCTTTATTCTACATTTTATGTGTTTAACCCTTCAACTTCAACTTAAAAAAACACACTAAAACTTGATATAATCTTAATTAATAATGATTTTAAAGTAATCAGATTCATTTTTAGGGGACATTTTAGCTATGTCAATAAAGTTTAAATTTTTAATCAAGCATCTCAATAATTTGTTTTATTTATTAATGTAAGTATTTTTTTAGTGCATATTTTAAATAGGATATTCGGATTAAAATATTCTATTAAAGCCTTACTTCCTGTTTGGCCTCTTTTTGACTTTTGTAAGATTAAAATTTAATTAGAATGGCTTAAAGTGTCTGTTTATGTTTTTGCTCATTTTTGTTTAATTCCAAGTGATTACAGAAATCATCTGTGGCGTTACATCCAATGTTTAAATGATCCAGTGTAGGCACACACTCACTGTCTCACTCAGCCACTAATCATGTTATCTTCAATTTTAGTTCATATATTTGGCATCAATGCGCATGTTTTAGCTCTATTAACACAATGACCGGAAAGCAGAAAGACAATTTTTTTCTTTCTTTTGCAAAAAAGTCATGACTCCAATAAAACTTTGCCACAAACACCCAGTCACGTTGCTTTAGAACAGGGGTGTCAAACTCATTTTAGCTCAGGGGCCACATTGAGGGAAATTTAGTCCCAAGTGGGCCGGACCGGTAAATTAAAAAAATAACTTCTGATTGTTTTCTTTGTTTTAATACAATCAATATAAAACAAGGCTGGAGCCTGAGGACAGTGTAGTACAAGTACAACACCTGAAGTGTATTGAAAATTTGAAAAAAAAAATCAACAAATAAAAAAAACATTCCTTAGTGATTCAAAGAGCTTACAGATCACATGGCTAGATCAGTTTCATGCAGCACTTAAAGTATATTTGACTCATTTTACTTTACATCTTTTAGCTTTCACCAGCACATCAATACCAGAAGTCACATCCTGAGTGGCAGCCAACTTCAGGATGGGATTCAAGTTCTTGTGTGAGCCTTGAGCGCAGCTTTGTTTTATTTATACTCATTACAGAGAAAACTTGCTCACAAAGATAAGTTTATTTTCACTCTACATTGTAAAGCATGAAAATAAAGTTTACACAACCATCTCGCGGGCCAGATTTAACCCGCTTGCGGGCCGGATCCGGCCCGCGGGCCGCAAATTTCACATCCCTGCTTTAGAAAGACAAAAAGTTTATTAAATTATGACAGTAGCAGCGCTGCTCCTAAAAGTCCCTTCATGTTTGACTTCGGTGCATTTAGGCTCCTACCTATCTTCTTTGATGCGAGCCAGCAGGGGCTCCAACCAGCCGACGGTACACTCGCAGTGAGCGTCGAGAAAGGTGATGACTTGCCCCGAGGTGGCGGCGGCGCCCCTGAGCCTGGCTCTGATCAGACCCGAACGCTGCTCCATCCTCAGAATCCTCACCGGAACCTCTAGAGTCTGCACATAGTTCTCGAGCTTCTTCTGTAGAAAGTCTGACGGAAAAATGGACCCAGATAAAGCTGCAGAACAATCCAGCTGCAACTGCATTTATTCATTAGGTAACTTATACCCATTAGAACGTTTTAGCACAAAATTAAGGCAAATGTATATTTCAGTATATGGAGTAAAACTATGGAATAACCTGGAAGATGGCCTGAAAAAATGTTTAATTGTTGGTCAATTTAGAAAATTTTCTAAAGACAAAAATGATAAGTGAATATCGAAAGAGGATACTGATGAGTTTTCAATTTGATATTGTTTGCAAAGATAAGAAAGTTGCATACTTGGTTTGTACATAAGGCCATTTTGTAAATTACTTTGTATCTAGTAGAACAGAGTAGGTCATTTAAAACTTCTTCTTCCTCCACCTTTTTATCACTTGGAAGATTGTACTTGATTATTGTATTGTGAGTTAATGATGAATGAAATTGCCGAATGAGAAAAAATAAAAAAATGAAATGAAAACTACATGTTGAAAAAAGTCTTAAGGACATTTCTGATTTAAAGACCTAAGGAATTAAAAATATTCTGGAAATCAGATTACATTTACAATCCAAGGCAAAAATAATTAAAAAAAACTTGTTAAGAGAAAGACATTTTTATGCTCTACATTTTGAAAATGTCTCTAAAGAAGATGAGAGAAGAAGCTACAAAACAAGTAGAAGATGATCATTTTCTCTCTTTAAGAACATCCTGTCCAATCAGATATCAGTGATCACATTAATCATCTCTCTCAGACCAACAGGGACACTTAAATGACTGATATCTGTTAAGAGGAGGCTGCTGTGGTCAAATTGGTCAAGATTTCTGACATGTGCATTTCCGACTGGATCGTCCATATTGCGAGCACCAACCTCGCTCACTGGCATCGTCCACCAACACAACCTCCACTAACAAGTGCCTCGGGGAGCGGTTTATGACACTGTGAACGGTTCGCAGCAGGGTGCTCCACGCCTCGTTGTGAAACACGATGACGATGCTGGTGTTGGGGAGGTCATCTGGGTACACCTTGGTCTTACAGCTGAGAGGCACACACAGAAACATGACAAACTACTCAGACAACAGCACAATGAGCTCCCTGAGGTGGCGTATTGTATTTAAAATAATCCTTTATAAACTGTTATTTGGGACTTTGGTTTTTCTCCACCATTTATCCATTTCTTGTGTTATTCCTTCTGGATCTCATAGGCCAGAAGGTGTAACAGCATTATTTAACATTTTGATAAATGATCAAGCCAGTAGAGCCGATTTACAGTCGGGCACATCTGCAGGCAGCCCGATACTTCTGCAGAATTTTATCTAAAAGTGTAATAACGTTCCTAAAAAACACCTACCTAACCCTTCTTTAAAACGTTATTGTCAACTTACATATTTTATTTACCAGTTTTATTTTTAATACTTGGACAGTTTATTAAATGGTTTGATTAACTTTAGTTAAATGTTTGATTTTACAATATCTAGATATCAGTTTTGATCATTGGCCCAAAACAAAAAATAATAATTGGCTGCACCTTTCGGACATTGGCTGACCACGACCTCTACAAAAGGCTTCTGCAATAGAAAAAGCCCTATCTGTTGATCTGTAACAACAATAATCAAGTATTTTTAGACACTTCAAATAATCTACTAGAATCATCCAATAGCCACATAAAATTACAGTTTAAAATGTTATTTACTGCCGTTTAGTCCTGATTGTAACGTTGGAGCATCTAAAATCTATTCAATAACATTTTTCTGACAAAGTAAAAACAACAGCATTTGGAAAAAGGTCATAATATAGAGTAAAGAATCACATGAAGATGAATCCATCAGCCTGTGTCAAATGTCCCTGTTTCTTTTCAAAAAGCTTCCTATTAAAATCTCAGAGTAGTTTGAGGATCCTGCTGCACTGTGATGCTGCCACCAGCACAGAGAAATTCCCACAAGGGATTAACTGACAAACATCTCAGAAGAAAGTGGAAAAACTCAAACTTGAGTTGACAGCAATGTCAGCGTGTCCTTGGCTTGATGCGACGTCTGTGAAAGTCCAAGGGTGGGACTGCGATAGACTCGGGATGCTGCTGGACTGGATGTTCCTGATTTAGCTACATTACAGAAAAGAAGCTGCGTAGAGACAGCAGACTGTGTGGCAGCAGGGGGGGGGCTGAGAAGTCACGGAGGGTGATAAAAGCCACCGGAGCAAACAGCATTGCTCGTTCAGTCCTGTCGATTCAACTAAACGCCGCAAGCTGACATAACTAGGCCAGGAGGCTTCCTCCAAGTAAAAATCTTATTGACTCAACAACTTGCACTTCTGGATTACTTTTGCTGCAAAATTCCTGATATTTTGCTAAGCTAAGTAAAGCTGTTTTATTATTGAAATTGAGAAAAATTGAGCCACAATAGACTAAAAAGCTAGCAGCTAAAATCAGGTGAAGGTTCGCTTTTTTTGGTGTTATAAAAATCCTCTTTGGATGAAACAATCTGAATCTTTTTCCTCTGTTTTAATATTCCATGTTTCAACGGATGTCCCTTGAAAAGTGTCTGTCTCAGTAAATAATTGTCCATTTGTTTAGCGCACATTGGTTCAGTAATTTAATTGTTTTTCAGGATCTTATTGGTAAATACTTCTATAAGGATACATAAGAAAACAAAATATAGTAAAGTATATTAATAGGGGGGTAACGGTTCATGATTTTGTATTCATTTTTTTTCTGCACGGAACAAATGTATTCAGATCTAACAGGGTTCAAGCAAAAAAATATCTAAACACGCCGAATCCAGCATTCGCGATTATTGCTAATGCTGCAACAGGATAAAACAGTAATCATGTCGCTAAAACACTAAAGATAAAAGCCCTTTTCTAGGGATGCTCGATATTAGCTTTTTTTTTTTACCAATATCCGATATCCTCTAACTCTTGATTTCTGATACTGATATAAACCGATACTGATATATGCTAAGTCCCCCCAATAAAAAAAATATCATTTAGGTTGCTAGTATCACATATCTCCATATTTCCAAGCATGCTTAAGATTTAAACAGTATCAGTGCAAAATGACAAATACTTCAATATAAGTTAGTAATAAAAATATGTGATGTTTAATTTGTCTTCAACAGCAGCTGAATGGCGTTCTCCTTCAGATAATCCTAACTAATGCTCTGTGATGCCTTTAGGCCTCAGATAATTAAGTTCATGATGGGATATGTTTGATTAATAAGTTAATAAACAGTACAAGTTAATTTATGATTAAAAACCATTAAAATGCTTTAGTATTTGAAAACTGAGTCATCCCTGTTATTAAGTCTTTATTATACTGTCTGTGTGAAACGCGACAGAGCAAGCTCTCTTAACTCAGTCTCAGATCTATCGCTGACGTAGTTCCGTTTTCCCCGCTGGACCTCGGCTCTGTGTGTTTAAATTTTACATTTAGGCAAAACCAGAGAATAAACGGATCATGAACACACTGATTTAGCTTTATATGTTTGTGCCTTAGAGAAAATTTGTATTTGTAAGTATCGATTTGTTTAGGGAATGTGTGGGCGTGTGTTAAAGTTACTTAGTTGATCAAATGTAAGCAGTGTGAGAATACACATGCTAAGCTAGGCTAATTGCTAAGCGCAACGCTACGATGTCTGCTAGTCAGTAATGCGTTTTTTCAGTTTCTGTAAATTGTTACGGTGATAAAACATTTATAAAGATCTTCAGGGGGCAGGGGCTTTTCTGGCTGCAGACTCCTTTGAGTCGCTGTGCTCTCGGGCAGCTCCTGGATCTCTGGGACTTGGAGCTCCTTCCATCTCCTACACATCTTTGGGGGGGGGGGGGGGGGGGGCAGATCTGTGGCCCCTCACACTCTCTATTGGACGCTCCTATAGAGAAACCTTACATATACAAGCGTGTGTACACACACAGGTGCTCACATGGTGCTCTCATAAGTATGGACTTGGGCACGTTCAACACATGTCTTAAGGCTGTGGTTGGCACTAAATGCACTGTGATTTATTATCGTGTGATTGTTCAGTTAAACAATGTTGATTTTCTATTTCTTCATCAGGTTGATGCTGTGATAGCTTGCTCCTGTTGTATTGTTGTGTGTCCCTTTTCTGCAGGTCTAGAAGCAGACCCCTGTTCATCATCATTACCCTCTCTCCTCATCCAAAGTTAGCTTGAAATTAACAGGCTGACATCAATTCAATGCAGCTCGAGTTAGCATTCAAGCTAGGTTAGTGTGCTAAGCTGACCGTGCAACACATAACTTGCTGTGAACTGAGGTGCTTTCCTGTTGATTGACAGTGCCCTCTTGTGGATGCATAACTCTATTGGTCAAAGGCTTTAGGCTCTTGTAAAAAAAAAAAATATTTTTCTGTAGAGGCCAAAGAATGGGCTTAGGGGAAATGTAAATTATGAAAGATTATCTACATTATATCAAAGAACAGGGTCAGATAGTCAAATTTAAGTATTTTTGAAGTTAATTAAAAACTTCCAACTAGGTTTAATTGGTTTAAAAAACTGTAAAAAATAAAAAATAAATCTAATTTATTTTAGAAACATGAACAAAAGACAGAAAGAAAACCTTGAATTTCTGTGTTGAAACCTGAGCAGTTTGATAAAAAAAAACAATTTCCTCAAATGTGGGCTGAAAGTCTGAGATGTAAACATTTTAAAGCTGCGTTAGGTCCAGCTTGATGCGAGTGGATCAATAATTTGTCTGTTTATATTGGTTTCAGCAGATTTAATGGTTGGTGCAGTAATGTGACTGGCGGCAGCCATGTGGAAGGGATCCAAATCGAAGCTTACGCACCCGTCCAGCCTGACGTCTGGTAGACTCCTGTTGAGCGCTATCATGTCACTGGCCATCAGGTTGAACTGGTTGATCTTAAAGAGCTCCTTCATTTTCTCCTGCTCCTCTTTGGGGATGTTTACAGCTTTTCCCATCTCTCCTGGACCCTCGTGGCTCCGAGATATCACTGCTGCAACATGACAGAAACTCTCACTAATGAGGCGCTAAATTGACATCAAGCTGCAGTGGAAACAAAAACAAACCTATCAAATCTATTGATGGAACAATCTGAAAATGGTCTTTAGGCGTTTTCTGTAATAAGTCAGAGCAGAAAACATTGTTTCTCATTATTTAAAAAAAACAGGTTTAGATGCTTATTTCATGGAGAAGCAACACTGTAAAAACTTTAGCATAGACTGCAAGCTGAGCAGCTTTTTCCCATTGCTTTAGCTTATCTATACAATCCCTGGCAGCTATATTTAATTTCACAGATAATCTATTTGACTGTTTTTATTGAGAGATGTAGGAAAATCTAAACATTAGAATCAGATTTATTTTAGGATTAATCTGAAAGTGAAACTAATCAAACATAGTCATCTTGCCGGAGTCTCAAAAGCCTGCAGAACTTTAGCAGATTAGCATTGCTGCTGCAGCTCCTTTCACAAAAGGTAAATAACCTCTGATGGATTTATGACTGCCCCACCACCACCCACCCACTCCTCCCTTGATAATCTCATAAAACAGAAGCACTTGTTTCAATGAAGGGGGAGGGGGCAGAGAGGAAATTAAGCACCAACAGTTAAGAGGATTTTCTACAACCCCTTCTTGAGTTGAACTGGTGTAGGCCATATTATTAGCCTAGGTTGTGCTCTTTTGTTCATAGCGCTGCTGACACTGGAATCAAGAATCAAGAAGCTTTAATTGTCATTGAACCAGCATCCCGGTACAATGAGATGAAGAACAACCCGTCCAAGACTAGGCATAACAAGACACAACATAACAGAATCAGGGTGAACTGTGGGCAGGTGCCTTTATGGCACTCCCGTATGCAGGAGTGAAAGATAGACAGAAAAACCAAAAAGAGAGGAGGAGTACATGAAGAAGAATGAAACATGTCCCTCCGTCCTGCTCCCGAGCCAGGGACAAAGGTGGAGATTCAGAAAAAACTCCATAAGTACATAAATTGAACAGTCACGAACATAAATCCACAGTAGGAGTGGCGGGAGGGAGGGGAAGCCTTCAAGAGAGAGTGTGCGGCATCTGCGTGCAGCTTTATCCCCCGCTTTCTGGAGGGGTGAAGGAGGCCGGAAGGCAACAATGCAAGCAGTGAGTCCTTCATAGCTCTGTGACCTTCCATCAGTTCCACATCAGGAAAGGGTTAGGAGAAGGCAGCGAACGTCTGTATTCATTCCACTGGAGGTTTTGACTTTTTCAGCCAAGGCTGACCGGGGAGCCAGATTCAGATAACAGTCACTGTTGTGGAGCAGGCCAGAGATAGCGTTTTCCTCTGCCTTACAATCTTTTACAGGTCACAGGAGAGTCCAATCAGCCAAATAATGGGGTTTAGTTCCCTCCATGCAGTGCAGTGGCATCCTCCATCATAGTATCCATCCTGCATGTGCATTGAGGGATCACCACCAGATTATCCATCCAGCTTGTGATTCACTTCCAGCAACATCTGAGTCAGTAACCTTTCCAGAGCTCATGGATTTTTATAATAGTCCGACAGCTCCATAAATTTCCGATATATCAGACACCCGCATACTCAAATCAGCAGAAACCCGAAAATCATAAATCCAAAGATCTATACGTCTTCTAAATCCTCAACAGAAAGTAAAGAAAGACACATGATGTTCCACTCCTACAAGGAATCCAAATTGTATCAAACCGAATGTGTGCCATGAGGGCATGTGGGAGATCCCTTCTCTGTTCCGAATGTTGTAAAAATATATTCAATGGCGTTCAGTGACCAGTTAACCAAGTCAATCATTTTTTTAATTACTTCCAGAAAGAATCCAAAGATTCCCTCTCTGAAGAGATGGGACAAAGAGCCTTGGGAAGATAAGGCCATGAGCGAAAAGAAAAGCGTCTGTGCATTTCAAGTGCCAGGACAGAAAAAGAATGGATGAACTCCGTTCCAGATGAATACGTCAAAGAATGTTCTTAACCTTCTTCGATCTATCACTCCCTGAATGGATGTGTTAGTCAAAGAATGTGGTATTTATGCTGAAAAAGACGTCCAACCAACAAAAGCTGAGGTTTCCAATGAAACTGAACTCTTAACTTTATATAATGAGGTTTTTGGTTCTTTAATAGAGGATGCACCTTGTTCTTAAGCCTGATTCATGCTTCTCCGTCTGCGTCAGTGCGGAGACACGCAACGCCATTATCCGTCCTTGCGTAGGGCTCCGGCAGGCACGCAAGTACGTACGGAGTCGAGCCCACTTTTTTAAACATCCGTCTAACGAGACGGATTACGCAAGCTTGTGATTGGTCAGGACGCCGCTGTTGTTTACAGCGCCACCATTGCAAAGAGAGCCGAGGATAACTAGCGGCAGACACGGAGAAGCTTGAAGAATACCTCGCGAAAAAACTCTAAAAATATGAACGTTTAATTCCCCCGTGACTGGAGGAGTGAAAAGATGCGCAGCAAGCGTTTTATTTGTGGACGGAAATGACAGGAAACGTGGGTTTAGAGATGGGAGGCGCATGAAGAGGTGGAGGAGAATGAGAGACAAATATGTCCGTGTTAAAAGTCTCTTATACACAAAAAACACAATATAAACACACTATCTTGGACCGATAAATGACAGGATACCACAGAACAGCGCTATGGCCCTCTGCTGTCCTGCCGGGCAATTGCTTTGCAACACTCTCCAGGAGACGGAGAAGTATGAATGCAAAACGCTTCCGTCAATCCGTGCGTGTCTGTCCCTTGTGGAGCTGACGGAGAAGCATGAACCAGGCTTTAGATTGATTTTAAAGAGCAAGTCACCCCTCAAATCAACTTTTTTTCTGATGAACTATATAAATGAGTGTCTAATCATGCTGTACACATATGTTGTCAATAATTTGGCACTTTAGTGCATCTTCATTCAAATTTAAATATTCTGCCTAAAACCATCAGTGTTGCGCCCTCTTCAGGTAAAAACTCTGCACTGCATTTGAATTTAAATCTGCCAGTGCTATTGGCTGAGGTGACCTCTGATGTTAGCTGGTACATTATCATGTCACAATGTTGTTGTGGGCCTGTGTGTGTGTGTGTGTGTGTGTGTGTGTGTGTGTGTGTGTGTGTGTGTGTGTGTGTGTGTGTGTGTGTGTGTGTGTGTGTGTGTGTGTGTGTGTGTGTGTGTGTGTGTGTGTGTGTGTGTGTGTGTGTGTGTGTGATTGTTAGCAGCTCCGCCTTCTCAGTCTGCCAGACAACAGCAAGTAAGACTCTTTAATGCTCGTTTCTTCAGTATCTATCACAATGGGTTAGGGTTAGTGAGGTTTAAAATCCCAATAACAGCTGATTGTCCTCCCTTTGATAATAAATGCATGACTTGAATTGCATCCTCACATGAATTGCTACTCTCTCAATATTGCCTAGCATGAAAATAAAACTAGGCTCCATTTATCGTTATTTTTTGTCTTGTGGAAAATTCTGATGTTCTGCTTATTTTTATTATGATGAACTCTAAGTAAATCTGAGATGTTTTGGCACCTTTGCACGAATACGCTTTCTTGGGGTAAAGTTATTGTTTTGTTTTGTTTTTTGTCTTATGGGCACTCATGATGCCTGCTGTTATTTCTCACCAAAAAAAAAAAGTTTAAATTTGGCAAGGTTGTGCAGTGTTTTAGATTAATGGTTGAAATTATATTTTTTGAAGATGGCAATTATTTTAACTTAAGAATGTTAAAATGCATTTTGTAAAACACAAAATAGGAAGAACTGCCTTCATGCAGTTGAACATATCATGGTCAGTGGAAGAACAGTTTATGTATAGCACCTTTCAAGATAAAAATCACAAGGCGCTTCACAATCACAATTTAAAAAATAAATAAATAAACTTTAATTCCCTTTTTAGATCATGTCTCAATTTACAGCTATCTTCTCTAATCTGTGAATACCAGGATCAGAATGTGCATATGTGCAATGCTTTTTAAGACCGGCTACGCAACAACTATATTCATTATTTAACCAGACCTTAAGCACACCAGTCGTCTCATGTATTTTGTATTATTAATATGTCATCTTAATTGTCCCAGCTGGACTTTCATGGTGAACACCAATCTTCAAGCGGATTTTGTGCCACGTTCTTCATCAACAAGGCTTCCAAAGTCCTGCAGCGTTTTTTCATTCTCATTTTCTAAACAAGAAGACGTGAGTGTAGTTGTGCACAGTTGGAGACTCCTTCGGTTCAATCCATCACCTCCTCCTGCTTCTCCTCCCTCCACCGCTCTGCTCTGCTGCCTGCAGATCTGACACAGCTGACGTTACATACTAGATCAGAGAAACCCCTTTTCTCCATCAGACCAGGGGCATCCTGAAAATTACTGCTCTGATGGGAACTTTTGCTCCATCTACAGCATACCGTTGGTACACCTGACAAAAAGTGAGGATTTCTCTTAAAGAACAAAGATTTAAGGTAACTTGGGTGAGAAGGGGGATTATTTTCTATACTTATGGCAAAATGAGAAAAATTTCTTTTGTTAGAATAATCTGATGGAGGGTTTTTCTTCTGTCTTCCACCAGCTCAATATCAGTTGAATAATTTGGCTATAATGTGGAGCAAAACAGAATGAGAACAAGCAGATTCTCACTGTATGTAAAAACCTGTTGCAGCAGCCACTCATTTGAAGTCTTTTTCATTACCTGTAGCAAAAGCTAAATATTCTGTTCTGCAGGTTGGTCTAGCCATGCTCCATTGTAGTCTCAGCAGGTCTATCAATAGTTCAGCTGAGTTTAGGCCAGGCCTATCACAGAGCTCTATGTTTGAAGAGACACGTTGGGCAACCTAAGCACCAACACAGCTTTGACGGAGCAAATCTACAAAGATGGTGGTGATTTAGGAGCAACACTTGTTTGAAGCAAATTTTGGCCTCAGTTTTGGATGGCAGTGGCTGATGAGTTAAGTGCCCATCGCATAACCAGAGGGTTGCAGGGTTGAGCCCTGCTCAGTCCGTTGCAGTTATGTCCTTGGACAAGAT